TATTGATTCCATTGTCTTAATTCATACGAGTCCTAAGTTCTGTAATCTTTTATTTTGGAAGCTTTAATGGAACTGAACCTTAACATGTACATTATAAAACAAACAAAAATGATCTCATGCCATCATCCAATTTCATGCCAAGATTAATTTATGATTCACAGTATTCTTTAAAGATTGCCTATCACTTTATTACTTTATTTTTTTTTTTAATTCCTCAAGCTCCTTTGGCCCAAGAGGGAAAGGACTTTATCTCTCCCACTTGCCCTCCAGAAAGTTTCCTCTAGGGTTCCATTCTTCTTCTTTTTCTTCTTCTTTTTTTTTTTTTTTTTTTTTTTGGTACTCTTCACGGTAATCTTATACTTCATTACAACTCATAGATTTAATGACTCTTCTGCACTTTCTGCCATTGCTGACTTCCTTCCTGGACTTGAGACAGTTCATTCCTAGCTGGACATCAGTGCCATGTCCAAAGGCTTCTTGGCTCAGTCCCTGCCTGTTGTTACTTTGCCTTTCTCTCCGCCTCTAGCATTGTTTCCCTTTTCTGCTGCCTCGCCCCTGCTGTCCAGGACACTGGCAGATCAGTTCTTCAACACAGAACCAACAGGCTCCGTGCGCTGCTGCTGCTGCTCGCCTACTCTTCATGTTCTAGCAGTTTCGTGTACCTCTTCCCTGAGTGATCCATGCTACTCACATCCTTGCACATGCAGTTGCTTCCTTCTGCTTGAAGCACCTTTTCCCTCTTCACCTGACTGAGGAAGACACCCACTGACGCTCAGTTCAGGCCTCATCTCCTTTGTGAGGGCAGACAGCCAGCCCTCCTTCCTGCGTCTACCACCAACTCTGTATAAAGGCCCTGTGTGGGACTCGGCTTTTCCCATCTGCCCGTTTTCGGTATGTCTGAGTGCCCTGTGAGCCAGACTCCCCAGAAGCAATGAGCTGTGCCCTGTCTCTGCATCCTTGACATAATGTCTCACACCTGTCAGGTAAGTCATAAATGTTTGATGATAGAACAAATGAGCTAAGAAAATCATACTCAGAATCCATGTTCTTTGCACAAGTGTTTTTGTGTAATAAAGAAGAATAAGCTAATTAAAACTACAGCAAGAAACGTTTTGCCTGTGTCACAAGGCTCTGTCACAAGACTCACTTGAGCAGACTGGTAGCAGTAGACGACCCCCAGTCATCTCCCACAAGCACCCCGTTTTACTGAGATTGGTGTTCACATTGGTCCCGGCATGATCGACAGCCCGATGAACCCAGACAAGACTAAGATAAACTACTTGTCCTCCTGTAGAATAAATATTTCAAATAAAGTCAACCCAAGAAAGTCAAGCCAAACAGCTATTGATTGCTAAAAGCCCGAACTTAAGCCCAATGAATATTCCAAAGTTCACCTCCATGCAGCTTGCCTAAATGGTGATCAATATGCAATTACTGCCCCCTTTAAATGTGTCTTATGCTGCCTACCTGAAGAAGGGTTTCACTTTTAAATCCTTTGTTTCTTGAATTTGCTTAGGCAGGAAAAAAGAGAGAGGCTGCGCTACTCCAGAGGCCTTTGCCTTTAGTATATCAAACAATTCTGTCTTGTTCGTGAGATGGTTTCAATGTATGCTGAATGGTAACTGAAGGTGCCCTGTGCTGTGACCGTCATTCATTTCAAGAGGCCTTTTCCTAGTGACTAAACAATGAGGATTTTGTATCTCAGTTTCCTAATTTCTGCCCTAGTCATCACCTTTGTAAATTCAAATTTGTAAAGTAGGATGCAAAAGTCTAGCTACAGTGAAAACAAATACATTATTTGTCTAGTTTCCTGTTAGAATTTCATGTTGATGCACAAAATCCTTTCCTGCTGAATTTGGAACGTTGTTTACTCTGCTCCCGATGTTTAAGATTTTTCTGTTCCTCTCAAATGCACCTTTTTTATACAGATGCCACACTTAGAACCGTTTGCCATTTCTCACTTGCACTGTTGCCACAGTCTCCTCGCTGTCCTCCCTCCCCCAGACTCGGTTGCTGCAGCTCCTTCATCTCACTGCTGCCAGTGTGAACCTTCTAGAGTGTGTCCATCTGCGGCCTCCCCCACTGACGCCTCTCACACCTTCTCAGTACCTATGGGATGAGCAGGTTCCCTGGGGGCAAGTCTAGAGGCCTGAGGTGACAATGTTCTTGCCACCTGTCCTCAGTCATCTTCTTCCTCTGTCCATTCACATCCACCTCTAATTCCCAAACCACGGGCTGTGTATCCACCACTGCCCCAGTGTCACCACTGTCCCTTCCCTTCCTGGCAGATATGCTTTAGATTCAGTGCAAATGTCAGGCACCTGCCATTTGACACCTCTACCTCTCACCTTCTTGGATGTAATTTCTATTACTAAGGTTATAGAAAATTACTTATATTGATAAAAGACAGGGACCTTGTAATCCCTGGCAGCTGGACTAGTTAGTGTCTGCTGGGTAAAGCATGCTTACTAGTAGCCTTCTTTTTCTCAAACTCAGAGACTGAACTAAAGGTCATTTGTGAGTATCTGTGAATTGTTTTGATTAATCCAGAACAAGGAGAAGAAATGTAGGACTGTTAATAATACACCCTATTTTATTTGCTTGACAATATTTCCTATCAAGCACCTTAGTTTCTCTTTGTCTCCTGCAGTTAGAACATAAGGTGCATGAGATCTTTTATCTTCAAAGGAGAGGTAGCCAGTAAATATTTGTAGATTGAATAATACAGGAAGATAAATTATATGTTGATTTGTATTTTCCCCTGATTATTTCACATTAATTTGGCCTCCCCAAATAGATCTAATTTTTTTTAAGCAGAAGCCATGTCTTTGTTTTCTCTTGTATCTATCACAATCCTGAGTAAGTGCTCAGTAAACATTGTGTATTGGCTTGGTTGATTGATTTGCCATCTGTACCAAGATAGGACATGACTGATTTGCTCCTCTCTACCTCAGAGTGTTAAAGGAAAAAAACTAATGTTGTAGAAAAGTATACTCCTGATATGGCTTGGATCTTAAACGGTCTCTGAGGGCCCATATGCTAAAGGCTTTGTTGCTGGTCCTGTTGGGAGGTGGTGGATCTTGAAGAGGTGGGGCCTAGATGGGCACGGCAGCCCACGCCTCGGATCCCAGTTACTCAGAAGACTGAGGGGAGGATCACAAGAATAAGGCCGGCTGGCCAACTGAATGAGACCCTGTCTCTAAATGAAACTCAAAAACAAAAAATAGCTGAGACATAGCTCAGTGGTAGAGCATCTGCCTAGCACGTGCCAGACCCCGAGTTCAATCCCCAGTCCCACAAAAGAATAAAAGAGGTGGGCCTAATGGGAGAGAGTCAGGCCCCCAGCCCCGGCTGCCAGGAAGCCAGCGGCTCCTCCATGGGCCCCTGCGGTGACAGACTGCGCCATCACTGCCCCAAACATGGGTCCCAGCAGCCATGAACTGAAGCACCTGACACCACAGGTCTGAATGAGTCTTCCCTCCTGATAAGGGTTTTGTCACAGCAGTGGAAAGCTGGCTGCACTTAGAAAAGTGTCTGCAAGAGCAGTCGCCCGTGGTGGGGTGGTTATCCTGTGATCTTTGGTTTCAAAGGAGGGATTCCCTTTTATTTTTTTTTAGTAGTTAAATTTTTCTAATTCTAAAAGTATTATATGTTTATTATGGAAAAAACATAATAAAAATAGAAAAGAGAAAATATACCAAAGAGATATACCAGTAGCTGATAAGTGCATGAAAAATTGCTTGATATCATTAGTTAGCGGAGAAATGCAAATGAAAAGTACAAAAGATACCACTTCACACCCACTAGGATGAGTAGAACCAAAAATTCAGATTAGTGTTGGAAAAGTATGGAGAACTCAGAATCCTTACTTGATGCTGATGGGGATGTACACGGTGCAGCCACTTTGGAAAACAGTGTGGCAGTTCCTCTAAAGGTTGAACAGAGTTCCCACGTGTCCCAGCATTTCTACTTGCTCAAGAGGAATGAAAACATGTCTCCATAAAAACATGTACACAAGTATTTATATCAGCATTGTTCATAAAAGCAAAAAGGAGGAAGCAACCCAAATGTCCATCAGCAGATGATAGACAAATCCTGGGTTAGCTATAGTGGTCAGCCAGAGAAAGGAATGAATCGCTAACGCATGTGCTACAGCGTGCATGAACCTGGACAGTAGTATGCCAAATGAAAGAAGCCAGTCACTGGGCCCCAAGAATACATGACGTCATTTACTGGGAATGTCCAGGCGAATCTGTGTAGACAGAACGCAGATCAGTGATTGCTTCGGGCTAGAGAGAGGACCGCTCAGGGTGTGATAACTAAGGGGTATATGGTTTCTTCTCAGGGTGATGAAAATGTTCTATAATTGGAATAATGGTTACCTTTATCTGGAATTGACTGCAATCCATTGAGTTGTGTATTTTAAATGGGAGAATCATATAGCATGTGAATTATATCTTGCTAAAGCTATTAAAAAGAAAGAAAAAGGAATAATAAGTCATCTGTAATACCACCATCCTGAAATAATCTCTCTTAGAATTTTGATCTCTTTTCTTTTTTTAATATTTATTTTTTTGGTTATAGGTGGACACAATGTCTTTTTTTTTTTTTTTTAACGTTATATGGTGTTGAGAATCAAACCCAGGGCCTCACACATGCTAGGTGAGCGCTCTACCTCTGAGCCACAACCCCAGCCCATGATCTATTTCTTTTTAACACACCTTCCATATAATTGTGGATATGCTTTGTATGAAATTTTAAATATTACCTTTTGTATTTACTGTAAACTGTTAGAATTTATTTGTGCTTTTACAGACTCCTGATTGTTAACAAGTGTGTAATATTCCATTTCAATATAATATAATCATTTTCTCACTTTGGGCAGTTTTTTTCTTTCCTTTTTTCCTCATTTATGAGACTGAAATAAATACACTTTTTTTTTTTTTTTAACATTGGAACTTCCCCTTTAAATGTCTCACATGAAACCTCTTCTTTTCCAGTGAAAAGAAGATCTCCCGGAGCAGCGCCCTCAAAGTGCTGGATCATGCCATGATCGGACCCGAGGGCACGGACAATTGCCATAAGTTCGTTGACATTCTTGGCTTACGAACCATCTTTCCTCTTTTTATGAAATCTCCCAGAAAGATCAAGAAGGTGGGGACCACGGAGAAGGAGCACGAAGGTAGGAGGAGTTGGCGGGAGGGGTTGGCCTTGTCTGGGCTTGATGAGGATCTGGGAAAATGGATGTTACTTTGAGAAACTGCAGGCATTTGGGGAGTAGAGTCTCGAGGGGAAGAGCGCTCCTTTCCCTTTCTGTCTTCCGATTTCTGCACACGTGGAGCAGCAGCTCAGACCCGGGCCCTCACATCACACGTTGGGCTGCTGTTTGAATCCTGGTGTTTCCAGTTGCTTCCGGCCTGTTAATAAGTCTGAGCGGGAAGCTTTGTTTTCTTCACTGCACTTCGTAGCGAGGTGTCTCTCTGATGGAAGACCCTTTTGAAAAGAGTAATGAGGTGGCAACACATGTCACCTCTGGAGTGGTGCTTTCATGTATTTCTGTATTAAAGTATGATTCAGCCAACATCAGGAATTGCCGAAATAAACTATTTACAGCCCAGGTTCCCCTTTTTATGTTTCTCCTCCCTGATGGTGCACACTCCCAGCAAAATGCTGCCATGAATTGCGATGCTGTAACCAGAGTAGTTACTGCTGGGCCAGTCCCTTCCTGTGACTGTCTAGTGGCCTGCCACGTCCCTCCCCCAGTAAAAAGCCGCAGTGCAATCCAGAAGGCCAGGATTTATGAGCGTTGACAGCTCCACTAGAGGCTAGCAGACACTTGCACCAGGCAATTTACATGGTTGGGTGGTTATTTTAAAGAGTGGGAAGGGCGAGGAGGGGCAGAGGTGGTGTGTGAGGTGGGAGGAGAATGCACCCAGCTCGGGAGCTTGGTTGTCAGAAGCAACATTGGTCGCGAGGTTGGGTGAGCCGTGTGTCAGTATCTAGTATCTTTTTCATATGTATCTAGTATCTTTTTCATTCTTTACCCTCCTGGATAAAAGTTTGAGAGCTCTTGTCTTTGTCTACTCAAATTACTGTGTTTTGTCTCCGCCATCTTGGAGTAGCTAAAGGGAAACTAGTGTGGCCTGTCTTCAGAGATCACCTCTAGTGCTGTCCTCTATGATAGATCTCCAGAGAGCGGAAAGTCTGGCAGGGACAGGGAGGAACGGGCAGAGTGAGATCAGGTGGAGACTGCAGCGTGCCTCAGATGACACGTTGACCAGACGCTGCCTGGAACAGCCTAATCCTCCGCCAGCTTTTTTCCTTTCCCAGTGTAACTTACTGGGGCTGTGGGGCAGGGCATGGGGTATCTGGGAGATGTAGGAGATAAAATTGTGCCCTTCTCGGCAGACCTGCCACCTTCCTGCCCCGCTATGTAGGCCCCACAGCCTGTGCAGTTGATCCCTGTTCCTTCAGTTGAGGAAGGAACCAGACTGTGGTTCTGTGCTGGCCAACTGCGTGGCTTTAGAACCTCTGTTTGCTCCCTGGACTGCGTTGTCCTTCCTGATGGATAGAAAGGGAATGAGACTAGTGAACGGGGAGCTCTGCTGTCTGCACTTTCAGACTGTGAGGCCCAGGCCCTACTGTCACGTTCACTCTGAAAGTCCAGATGACTCCTCAAGGACTGCGCTGTGACTGACCTGCTGGCTTCTGCTGAGAGACTCGTGCTGCAACTGAGCGTGCTTGAAGAGGGTGTGAAGGAAACAGCCCTTAGCTGGCTCTTGCTCTGTGTTGCTGGTACTGAGAAGAAAAAGAAGTGACAGATTCAGTGAGCAGCTGTTTTCTTTCTGAAAAACGTGCCCGGTGGCGTGCTGGTAACAGTACATTGGCTTTAGAGTACCCACATTAGGAATTTGATAACATTATATTAGTGAGGGCAATGGCTTGGTGAGACAGCTCCTAGAAGGCGTGTGGACGGTAATGCTTGAGGCTGAGCTCTGCATCCTGAATGCACCCCGCCTCTTGCCACCTCTTCCTGCTGCTGCTGCTCCTGGCAAATTAGTCACCAGACTGCAAATGGTAGGGCGAGAGGGAGGCAGAGCCGGACTGGGCACATCGAGTGAGGTTTCTTTGTTCTGTCGTGTCCTCTAGAGAAGTTCTGTGCTCCGTACCTGCTGGCCATGCTGACGTTAGCACACCAGGATCATGTGCTGGTCTAGAGAGCAGTCACCTCTGGCCAGTAGGAGGACTTGTGCCCTGCCCAGCTTATCCCGCCCAGGCTTCCACTGTGCTTTTCTCTGACCTGTCTGCCTGGTGCCTTAGTCTTGCCTCAGTCCTTAGTTTTGATGTCCCTTTCTCTGGAGTGCATATCATGTGCCCCTAAACTAGGTTAAAACCTAGGACTTTATCTCAATAGCTATAGAACCAGTGGCCTTGTTACTTCTGGGTCCCCTTGCCTAGGACCATGCTTGACATGTAGTAAATGCACAGAAAATGTTTACTAGGTGCACAAATGAACAGCTACTTCCCCGAAGGATTGTCCCCTGAGGACAGACATGGGTTTGGGGCTCTCCCCAGAACCACACAGGTCGACGTCCACATGGTTGACTTTAGTTCACCGACAGCTGTCCGTCGTCTGCCTGGAGTAAGTGGTCTTTTACCCGCTTGCTTGGAAGCAAATATGAGTAGGTCGCTAGCCCTGTTTGCCTTTGTCTCGTTGGTTTGGTGGTGATGCTGAAGGGCCCCTGGAAGCCATGCCCTTGAGATACCTGCCGTGCGCAGGACCTCCCCGCAGCTGAGGCTGTCTGTGTGGGACTCCTTATTTCCACAGGACGATTCCTCCGTCTGCCAGCCCAGAGCTCTGCAGAGCTGCCCTGCACGCTTCCTTTTCCTCATCAAGCCTCAGGGGCTCGTCACCCATCCTGGTTTCCCTTTCTGAGTCCACTCTGGTCCATTCTCAGCCCCTGTAACCTGAGGACCTTCCCAAACTCCTGCAGTAGCAGCGCAGCCCGCTGTGGCACAGAGGGGTCTACTGCTGGGGAGCTGCTCGATCTCTAAGCTTCAGTCGCCCCGTCTGTAAGATAGTGAGGCTGAATCTACCACACGGCGTGTTGGGAGGTCCAGGCGACATAGACAGCTGGGCCATCCTTTCGGTCATCCATGTGTTGATTTTTGACCAAGGGTCAAAAATAGTCGGGAAGAAAGAGAATTTTTTTTTTTTTAAGAGAGAGTGAGAGAGGAGAGAGAGAGAATTTTTAATATTTATTTTTTAGTTCTCGGCCGACACAACATCTTTGTTGGTATGTGGTGCTGAGGATCGAACCCGGACCGCACGCATGCCAGGCGAGCGCGCTACCGCTTGAGCCACATCCCCAGCCCAAGAAAGAGAATTGTGCCTGCTGGGCGAGCCTGTGCTCCTCCTCTCCTTATTCCCTGAGCACCGGGGCAGCTCAGCTATTGACAGAGCATTTACATGGTGTTAAGCATTATAAATAAGTAATCTGGAGGTGAGCTAAGTAGATGGGAGGTGTGCCTAGGTGATATGCAAATGTTCTGCCATTTTACATAAAGGACTTGAGCATCCAAAGATTTTGGTATCCGCAGAGGGTCCTGGAGCCCGTTCCCTGCAGGGATGACTTCATGTGATTGTCATAGACCCACAATAAAACAGGTTCCTTAAGAAGTGTTACTTCTGTAGCAGAACTGCCTCCATCCTGGCCCGAGTCACGTCCATTCCTTTTTAGAGGTCAAGGGAAGGCTTGGCTGTGGGAGGTCTGGGAGAGGGGCTCTTTGCTCCATGATAATGTGCGGAAATAGGCAAACTCCTCCTCCAGAGCAGCGTCAGAAGTCATACCATGCTAAAGAGTGAGGTGACATAAAACAGCTAGGTTCCCAAGGCCAGCAAAAGGGCTCGGGAGAGGAGAACTTCTAGATTAAGGTGACTCTAGAGAGGAGGAAATAGCAAAAACTGCCTTATAACCTAGAATTGCTGGTAATTTCGTTCCTCTTTTGTGAGTTGGGGTGGAGAAGGAAAAGAATTATTATAATTGAAATCCATTCAGGTTTGCATAATAAAACCTTCAGAAATAGATCAGGGGAGGCACTTAGCTTGGGGGATGGGTTGGAAAGAAGTAATTTGCCCTTGGGTGCAGGAGCGTGACTGGCTGCCTCCTTGGTTTTATAAAGAAGGCACAGTGTGTACGTCTCCTTGGTGCTCACTGCTTCAGAACAGGAGGGAAGAAGAAAAGAGCTGGGATCCAGAAATGGCATCTGACCTTTACTTCTCGTCTCTTTATAAAATTCTTATTAAAATAGGTCCAATTTTCCTTGTATTGCCTCATTAGGTAGGTGAGTTATTGAGTTTGTAGCAGTTCTAGTTAATTGCGCTGTTTTAACATGGTTCCCCTGGAGGCTGTTAAGAGCTTTGGGGGGGTGAGCCGTGGAGCAGCATGTAGGTGTGTGGAGTGCCCGCCAGGCGCGTGCACACGTTTCTACCTTATCAGCAGTGACAGCAGTTGATAACAGGTCAGTGCTTTAAAGAATACTTTTCTGTCATCCGCCAAGAACTGTGAGTGAGTCTGGGGGGCCCCACGTGTCAGGAAGCCTGTAGTTCCCTGGTGTTTCTTGGACTCTGAACGTACACCACCCACCAGGGTTAGAAGAGAGAAATGGCAAGACCTTCCCGAATCAGAGGAGAGGGAGGTTAGCCAGTGCAGACAGAGGAGAAACACTTTACAGGTCTCCGTGGTGGGTTGTGCTGATGACCTAGCATTGTTTGGGGACAACTATTATCTGGGCCCCTGCTATGTTCAAGATAGGACAAAGACCCAGGGTGTGGTGGGTCCTGTGTGGACAGGGAGTAGGTGGAGTGTCCGCCTTGGGAGGATGCCCTTCCCAGGTCTCCCCCTCTGGATCCGCGTCCTCCTGTCCCCCAGCCCCTCGTTGTCACGTGAATCAATGGTGTCTGTCACTCCACACGCTAGCACAGAGGTCTCTTACCTCCTCTGTGCTGTTGACTCCCAGCTCTTCAACCCCATTTTCTTTGGCATAGCTAATAACCAGCAGGTAGCGCCACACATATTCAAACTCAGCTTGTTCAAGGCCTTACCTGTCCCTTCACTGTCCCATCCTTTTCTGCTTTTCCTGCCCTGGTAAGTGGCACTCCCCACAGCAGAAATCAATGCA